AAAAAATATTTAAGTTAAATGGGTTGTTTAATATTTATAATTTTTTATTATTAAGATAATTTATAAATTAAAGATAAAAGATATTCTAAAAATAAAAAAAAGAATATAATAATAATAAAATATAAACACAAATAAAAAATAATAATAATAAAGATAAAAATGAAATTAACTTTATTTCTTCTATTGTAATTATCCAAGTCCTACAACTTTATATGCAAAATACCCAAATTCTAAAATTTGAAAAATGAAATAATAAAATAATCATAACAAACAACATAGTAAATAGAAACTAAAAGAGAAATGCTTTATAAATTGATTAAAACAAATCATTAAGACCAAAGCTTTGTAAAAATAGAGTAGTTTGTGCAAATAAATTAAATTGTAAGTTGAAAAAAAAATAAATCAATCAAGTGTATGAATCTAGATTTTCATCATTGGGGATTAACATAAGAATAAAATTTAAACCCAAGACAAAAACATTTGTGACAAAGTTGACAATAATAATGGAATAGGTGTATAAAACATGACAAAAAGATTATTAGTATAAACACACAACAATTTGAAATTAACAATCATTCTTCCTCATTACCAACAAGAAGTAATTAAAAGACTAAAGCCTCTCTTCCAAACAAATTAGAAACTAAAAAGTATAATCAATTAGCAGTTAAGAAAATTAAAAGTCAAATAATTAATAATTTAAAGTCTAAAGATAAAAGTAATTAATAATTACAATAATAAACAACATAGAAGAATGTCAAAATAGAAATCAAAAGTCTATTATTATGACAGGTGTTAAAACTGTAGAGTTATATTTTGAAATGGTAAAAGTAAATAGCATAAGTTTAGGCAATAAACTACAATATTATTAACAATTAGCTTTAAGTTTGCCTTTTTTTACCTAATAATTAATATATATATATATACTTTTATTTTTTATTTTATAATTAAAGGAATTATATTTTATAGTTGAAACTGTATTAAACTGTAAAATAAATAATATTAAATGGGAGATGACCTCTTAATGTTGAGCAATCCACCCTCATTTAATAATTGTTATAGTGCAATTCAAAATATTCCAAAATGAACTACACTTTTTCATTTTTTCATATAATTAATTAAAAAAAATTTTCAATATTTTCCAGACCCCCCTAGCTCCGCCACTGAGGTCATCCATATGTGATTCGTCGTTCTTAGCCAACTCATTACCCCCCTTCGAAATTCCATTTATCGCTCTGCCATTAATTTTGTTTTAAAAGTTAAAAAACAAACTTCATGATCTGTATAATTGTAAGATAATCCTTTCAGCCTAAAAAGTTTTGTTATTTAAAATCATATGGATTCATCACCATTTAGTGCAAATGAAATTTACACTTCACAATACAACTTTCTAGCGTTTTAAATTAGTTTTTTCTTAAATAGTAGTACTAGTAAGGTTCATTTTTTGGCAAGAAACAAAGAGGTAGGGAGAACATTGACCTTCAAGAGTGAATCTATATTAGAATGAAGGAATGTATAAATAACACCATCCAAAAGTAACTAAGAGAAAATTATTCTAGAGTGAGTTCATCAAACTTTCCTTTTTTTAATAAAAATGAAAATTTCCTTTGAATTAGAGTGTTTTCACTTAGTTCATGGACGAAGAGGAAACCTTTTTTTTCTTTCTATCTTTTGATATTCGGTCATGAGGATGAAAGCTAGATTTTTTTTCCCCCTCTTTTTGGGGTTAGGTGTAGACGTTTAGTAGATTAGCACTTTGCAACGGGTTCACAAATATGGATATTTTAGTGTTTCAACTAAGATTGTTTCTTTAAATTGAATTCAAATGTGAATTGTTAAAAGCAAGATGAAGAATTAATTAACTAAAATTTGTTAAGGAAACCAAATCTGTATCATAGCATATTAATATTCTGTTTAAGCTCACATTCATTCTCTGTATAATATCCAAGATTGTGATTCACTTGCCTTATGTGGTAGGGTAATACACAGGCTCCAACTGTATATATACTCTTGATATATTCGTAAATAAACATGTTCTTCATACACTTTGATTCTATAAAATTTAACTTTCATCTTTATTTCCTTTTGGTTAAATAACCATTTTGTTTGTTCAACTTTTCATTTTGATACCAATGGTCTGGGGATGTAGAGATTTGGGGGTGAAGGGGAAATCACCAACATCAAAAGAGAAAATATTAAAGTTTATGAAATGGGAAAAAGGAAGAGATGGAGAAGGAATGATGGTCCAGGGATGAGAGAGAAAGAGGGGAAGAGTGAAGAAAAACGGGAGAATAACGAAGAAAAGGGTTAATTTTGGGAAATGACTTTAATTAATTAATAATAAATTATATTTTATAAATTTGTTAAAATTAAAAATGTCACATAAATAAAAAAAAATTATCACCTCATCAACTTACATGTGTTTTTCTTTTTTCATATTAATATTTTTTTAAAAAAAGTCCAATTTTCTAACACCATTTAATTGCTAGAAGAGTCAAATCGGTATAAAAAATATGAGTTTAAGGATAATTTTAATACGTTTTGAATTTTAGAGATAATTTTAATATCAAAATGAAAAATTGAGGGACTAAATTAATATTTTAATCTTTCCTTTTTAAGAGTAATAAAGCAAAAAACATAATTATTTAAAACTTCTTAATTTACGAGAAAAATAAAAAAGAGACACATTATTTTAAGGCTAAGGAGTAAAGCGTTTATTTAGTTAAAATGATATTTTTAAATCTTTAATTATTAATAAAACCAAAATACTTTAATTATCTAAAATTTTAATTGAATTAATAAAAAAATTAATTTGAAACATTAGATAATTTGAAATTAATCACGATAGAGATGAGCGGTAAGAAATGAGCAGAGAGAATTCTGACTTTTTT